CGAGGAAGTTGCTGACGTCGTTGTCGCCCTCATCTTCAACAGAACCGCCATGGAAAAAACAAATCCACTCTACCCCCTCGCTGTCGCCAGGGAGGAGGAGATAAATTCACAGTACTAAGAAACTTGGCATGAAGAGACCCTAACCCTAAGGACTCGATCTCCTAAGAAAAGTTATTAAAACGACGGATCCCCACTCCCTCCGGCCTCCGGCGAGATGCCGAAGGGGAAGGAAGGGGGACCAGCGGTGGTGGAGATGAGGGGCGGCGGCGGCGGTTGTGAGTCTCGCTAGGGCGAGGTGGTCGCAAGCCAAGGCTTTTTGTGTTTGCTTGTCGTGGCGATTGGCTTTTAGTTATGGGCTTTTGTAATAAATTTTAGATTCTTAGCACACCAAAAGGAAAAACTCCTCTCACCATGCTTTTCATATTTTAGTTCATTTTCTCAAAGCCACCTTTTAGCTTTTCAAAAGCCAGTTCAACAGTTGGGTTGTTTGTTTCACCTTTTGACTTCTGGCTTGTAGAAACCAGCAAAAAAAAAACAGAGACAAACAGACCTTGAGACGAGCAGCTAGGGCCCTGTTTGACAATGGTTTCTCCAGCTTCAGCTTCTTTTTACAGGCGCACTGCAACATCATTGTTTAGTGTAATGTAGCAAATGCTCCTTTGCTTTCTCCAGCCCAAAATACACTAGAAAGATGGAGAGGCCATAATTTGAGGGCTTCACCAACTTTAGCCAATGTCATCCTAAACGCTAAACGCTAAACAGTCGTAGGCCGTTTTCACGGCGTTTACACGGAGTTAAACGATCTAAATGGTTTTACACAAATATTAGACCAGTCTCAGTGGAGTATTTCATGTCCTAGTTTCCAAGAATCCATGTGCTGGAAACCGTATAGATGAGTTTTATTTATTCCCATAAAACTTATCCATCCCATGAAACTTTCATCATCTCTCTCCTCATCTATTTTATGCCATGTCAGCCTATTTAATGCCATGAAACTACCATAAAACTCCCACTAAGGCTGGCCTTACCAAATATGCATATTTATTGATGTAAAATTAATTATTTTAGCATTTATACATATTTATGCAATTAAAAAACAATTATTTTAGTATGTATATATATTTATGCATGTAGAAAGAATCAAATGTACATATTTATACATGTAAGAAATCAAGTATATATATTTATAAATATAATAAACTTAAGTATACAAATTTATGCATGTAAAACTTAACTGTGTTTAGCTATAGTGTGGTACAATACAGTTCTAGTGGTGTAGCCAAAGCCGACATAAGCCTTTTCAAAGAGGCCCTAGGTCATGAGTGGGTAGAAGGAGGGAATATTGGTGACTTGCATCTGACTCTGGCCAGAGTGATGCTTGCCTCACGAGCAAGTAGGGATGGGAATGGACCGTCCTAGACTAGGGCCTCTTACGGTTCGCCTCTCCACACAGGCTAAGCTCAACACAGAGAGCAATGGGCTACTGAAGCAAGCCACCAGCCCACCACATGTGGGACATAAAAAATTTAAATTAAATTTAGAGCAAGAAATTAATATTATTCTCTTGAAGCTTCAAGAACTGGGATTTAGGAGAATAATATTCTAGATTGAGGAGCATACTATTCTCTAGACTATTTGGGGTTCATAAAAAGATGTAAGAAATAATATTATTCTCTTGAGCCTAGAGCAAGCTTTGAGCTTCTAGGCCCCTCAAGTAAGTAGTTTCGATGGTTAATGGCAATATTACTTTTCGTAACTAACGTATGTGTTTTGGAAAAACAGGTTGACGTTATGTCAGTTTCGAAGGTGAAGAAGTGTCCTCAAGCATTGACGAAGAAGAAAGTTGAGGACAACTTAGGATGTGTGGCTAGCATATTGTTTGGAGGATCAAGTGTTAATGCTAGGCCACAATGCATGAAGAATAAAGACATCCACACATGTTGATGGCAAGACGATCAAGAACTCAAGATTGAAGACGAAGAGCAATCAAGAGTCAAGCAAATCAATCAAGGATTCATGATCAAGCGGATCATGGATGAGTTAAGTGTTGCAAGTGAAGCCTCAAGGTTGAATACCTTTCAAGAGTTAGGTTCAATAAGAAGAGGATTTAAGTATGCAAAGGGTCGACCAAATAAGTGTGCATGTTGGTGCAATCTTGAAGAACATATGGTCCAAAGAGCTTGCTTGTGCATCAATAAGTCCAACGGATAAAGTTTCACTTTCACCTTACTCAGAGTTCATATGAGAAAGTTAGAAGTAAAATTAAGGAAGAAGGCACATAGAGGAGTAAAGGACATTCGGTAGAGAGGGAAAACATGCACTAGGATGAGTCCGACCAATGCCTTTGTGTGAAAGACAATGTTGAAATCAGTCTGGCCAGTGAAGAATGAGGACACTGGATAATAATGTAAACAGTGATAGAGGCTAGGGTTTCTGAGGGTCTATTCAAATAACTACAATGGACAGTCTGACCAGATGGGATTATGAATGCCAAACAATTGTCAAAAGATGTGTTTGACTGTGTAGATGTGAACAGAGGATAAGCTAGGAGAAGATTGTGAGCAATGGACAATGACATCAATTAGTCATTGGAGTGTCAGAACTAGCCATTAGAGGTGCACTATACGAATGAATGCACCGGACTGTCAGGCCAGGACTTGTAGATTGTCTAATCTTTGTATTTTCTCAGGTGAGCATTGGAGCATTTTTGGCATTGTTTGCCAACAACCCTCTCCCAAGGTTTGGGCTAGAAATACCTCCTCCCAAGGGTTTTTTCTGGTGCCTTTTTGGCCATGGGTTAAGTGGAGAGGAGTATGAAGCTTAAGGAGAAAAGAATGTGACAACAAAGCCCATGTGTTGGCACGAGAAAGATGAACGAAAGTGATTCAAATACTTGTGATTGTGATTGTGAGGCAGCCATGAGAACTAAAGTTCGTGAGGTGGAGCACCTGAGATCATGTGTGGTTTTTTGATAAAATGTAGTAGGCTTCATGGAGGTGACCCTACAAGGATGATGTTGTTGACGGTCGTTAACATCAATTATAAACCATCAATATAACCTAAATATATACTTAATTCTATCATCAAACATAGGTCTAGGGGTTTAAACTAATAAATTTCATAAGTTTTGGTGAATCTGTGTTTGTAGGAGGATTTATTCAGAAAACCGTTAAGGTGAACCCAATTGTCAAATTTAATCATGTTTATCCGCGACGAAAACAACTCCAGAAGACTCTAGAAGATCCTAGAAGACTCTCCACCAAAGATCGAGCCGAGACACTGATAGGGGGCCGGCCGGCCTCACCCCTAGGCCGGTCGGCCTATGGACCCCCCTGTCAGCCTCCCCTTCGAATGTCGGTTTTCCACCGTCTCCTAGATCATATATACACAATTCTTTTAAGTCGGTTTGATCTGAGGGTCCATAATTGACGCTACCCCCTATATATAGCAGCCCCTACCCTCTTCCCGTGGAGCCATCCTGAAACCCTAATTCATATCTCTCATTCAGATCAACACACACCAGGAGGATTAGGTCTAGAGCTCTCCAATGTAGTAGATTAGTAGCTTGGGAGTGATGGTCGAGTTGGGCTCGTGCTCAAGTTTCGGATCTAGTCTTGGAGGCTCGGCAAAGCCTTGTATCTTCACTTCTATATCTTGTAAGACTTATTATCAATTTATTATATTCCTATCTACATGACTATGCTTACTTTTAATATGTATCTTGTTTAGTTGAGGTTATCATTACTTTTGTGTGTGGGTTCATAGAGCGTTTAGCCAGCTAGTTTACCATGGTTGGGCTAAGTAGCCGAGCCTCGTGTAAGCATGATGCTTATACGATGCTCTGCCTGTTAGTACACCCTGTTCTCTAGTTGTGTGGTAGCAGCGGGAGGTGACAATCCCGTCTATCCTTTATAGTCCACACCGAATTGAGCAGGTTCTTAAATTATACGACCGTAGTCGCGTCAGTAAAGTTATCCTTTTATGGTGCTCTACTGTCTAAGCGGCATCCCGAAGTGCACAAGAGTAGAATTAGTCTTAGTTATATATATATATATATATATATATATATATATATATATATATATATATATATATATATATATATATATACTTTGATCCTGTAATAAAAATATCATAGAAATCTACCTCACCTCTTGTTTTCCTGAGTTAACTAGTCTATTTTATCTTTATAGATCTATCCCCTAAGTGTTATTATGCTTAATTTCTATCTATATATTTATCCTCTACTTAAGCTATACTAGTATGTTGATAGATATTCCTCTATTACTCAATAAGTCTTTACTCCATTGTTTTCCTATGGTAAAATATAAATAACGATACCTGAAATACTCTTGGTAAAATGCTACAATGATATTCTATACGTTTGCGGAATCCTTCATATTCTATTTACGTTAATAAATACGAAGCGGTCCTGTATTGGTGTGCGGGTGACGATGACAGAGGTATTGTTGCCAAAAACAAAAATTCTTAGTTCCAAGTCCGGCTTGAAACATTAATTCTATTTATTTGCAAACTAAAAATTTATAGCTGCCATCAAAATCTAGGACCGAATTCAACTAACCCAACAGAGTTTTTTAGGAACAACTAACCCAATAGAGACGCTGTCACATTCATCGAAACAATTATATGATTGAACATTAAGTTTAGGCTATCACAACTTTTTTAACTTACTGGAGTAGTGAATCTTTAGCACAACTATAGCGTCCGATTTTCACGCCTCACCTTCGACATCGCCACAATACGATGTGGCTAGAAATCAAACATCTTTTGTATTCCGTACATAGATAGATATATATATATATATAGATATAGAAATAAATAAGAACGCCGATTAGCAATTTAAAATGCAGTTGCAGCCCGCTACACGCTCCAACATCTGGCGGCCGCCTCCGCTTCCTCCCGCGTGCGGGAGTCCTCGGAATCAGCCCATCCGCGGCCGCCCCCCGCTGCTACAAAGCGCGCCTTGCTCCGCCCCGGCAATGCAACTCCCCCGTCGTCGAGCACGCGGAGTCGAAGAGGGAGAGGGATGGCCTCACCAGCACCAGGAGCCCTGGAGGAGGAAGAGAAGGGGTTGGTTGGCCTGCACCGGCTTGTTCCGGTTCGCGGACGGCGCGGACGCGGTGCTCATGTCCGCGGGTGCCGCTGGTGCAGTCGCCAGCGGCGTGGTGCAGCTGCTCATGGCGCTCATCTTCGGCGAGGTCGTCAATGCCTTCGGCTCCGGCTCCCGCCACGACATCCTGCACCGCGTCTCCAGGGTACGCCTCGAATCTCCATGCCCATTTAACTGCAGCTCTTGTGTTGCCATTCCTAGTTTGGAGTTTGGAAGGGATTGACGAGAGTACTCCTAGAATGCTAAAGCCAAAGTGTGGGGAATATCTGTTGATGTACTTCGACCAGTTGTTCAACTATTCTGATGATCTGATCACACGGGTAGTGTTAGTTACTAGTAAGCACGTGGCACTCCATAGTACTACGAAATAGGATTGCTACCCATTGTACTGCTTGTTGATTATTTGCTGACTTTGGTAACAACTATGATCGTGGTCTTGCCTTGCATAATTCTGTTAAGGGCCTCCTGAACCACCCTCTCAGACTCCATATCTAGTGCACTTGTCGCTTCATCAAGCAGCAAGATTTTGGGATTTTTTCAGTATTGCCCTTGTGATTGCAATTCTTTGTTTCTGCCCTCCTGACAATTGTGCTCCATGCTCACCAACCATTGTGTCTAGGCCCTGAAATAACAAAATTCTCGATTAATTAAGGTTAGTTATAGTATAGATGGAATTTTGCACAAGTATAAAGCAATTTAGTTTAATCTACATACATTAGGTAACTTATCAATAGTAATATCACCTCCACCATTAATCAAAATACTGTCAGTGCAATGGAAATCGTCTTCCAAGATGGAAAGGACGGCTTCTCAACCGCGCAGGGAGACTTACTTTGGTCCAATCAGTGCTCTCCTCCATGCCGACTTACCATTTAACTATCTTCCCGCTAGCAGTCTGGGCAAGGAAACAAATTGACAAAATTCGTCGTTCATTCCTTTAGAAAGGCGATGATAATGCCAACGGCGGCCACTGCATGGTGAACTGGCCAACTGTAAGCAAGCCCAAGGACATGGGCGGTCTAGGAGTGACCGACCTAGACAAATTCGGCAGAGCTCTGCGCGTGCGATGGCTTTGGCAAGAATGGTCCAGACGTCCTATGCAATGAAGTGGACAGATTTTTCTTCAACGCCTCCACTACAGTTTCCATTGGCAATGGAAAGAAGACGAAGTTCTGGCATCATAGCTGGCTTGATGGCGAGGCCCCACGAAACCTTGCACCCCATCTCTTTGATTTGGTCAAAAGAAAAAAATAAGACGGTCGAGCAAGAGTTGAATAATAGCGCCTGGATCAAAACGCTTCACCGGAAAATAACAACCGCCACACATGTGGAGCAATTTCTCTCTCTATGGATCAGGATTCAACTTGTGCATCTACAACCTGAGAGGGAGGACCAAATCAAGTAGAAATAGACAGTTGATGGAAAGTACTCTGCTCGATCAGCCTATCGAGCTCAATTTATTGGGACATACAATCGGCATAAAACCAAACTAATATGGTGAGCACATACCGAGAACAAATGCAAATTGTTTGCTTGGATACTAATACAGAACAAGATCCTTACCTCAGACAACCTAGCACTCAGAGGATGGCCACACCAGAACTCGTGTGCTCTCTGCAGCGGGCCATTGGAAACCGGCTTACATCTTTGCCTAACCCGCCCATATGCTCAAGTGGTGTGGAACCAAATCTCAACTTGAGAGAATTTCAATATTCTTCAAGATGGTCACCTGGTGCAATTTGATAATATTGATAAATGGTGGGAGAAGGCGGCAAGATCCGTACCAAAGGATAAAAGACGACACTTCAAATGGATTGATTATCTACACCGTGTGGAATATTTGGAAGGAACGAAATCGAAGAATTTTTTATCAAAAGTTCTTAACAGCTCAGGAAGTAGCAACCCGCATTAAAGAAAATCTAGAGGAGTATAGAAGGGCTTTTCGGGTGATCACCTAAGGTAGTGTAATTGCAATCATGGTGTAAGGGCTGTCGGGTGGCAGAGCCAATCCTTGACTACATTGCGGGTTCACGGCCTAGGAGCCGTTGTATCTTAAAATTCTCTTTTCCTTCTTAATTCAAAGGCAGAGCTCCTACCATTTATGTAAAAAAAAAAGATGCTGACACTATATCAGTCGTACATCACGGAAAAGTAGTTGAACTAGGTCTGAACCTTGCATGCTTTCGTTATGTTTATCTGATGATTCTGGAGTTTGATCTTGTCACCTTTAAATGTTAAACAGGCACACACACTGAACTACTTCAGGACCCCAATGGTGCATATTCCCAGCTTATCCAGCTGCAGGATATAACTGGAGATCCAGATGCATCTGATGTAGATTATCAAAGGTCTACTTCAGCTGTCAGAAATGTCGAGTCCTTGAGCAAATCTATGCATGCTCCATCTCTCAAGAGGTCAATAACTGGTGGCGCTTCATTAGGGAGTACCAGCGTGCACTTGATCACTAGTGCCAACATGATTGTCCCGGAGAGCACAGTTACTGAACCACTGCCTAAAGTATCGGATGAAGGTGAAGAATGCAGGAAGGTTGCCCTCTCTCGTCTTATTTCTCTGAATAAACCTGAGATGCCAGTCCTTCTGTTAGGTACAGTGGCTGCAGTCATATCAGGTGTTATGTTTCCAATGTTAGGTTTGCTGATGTCCAGTTCCATCAATTCATTTTATGAGCCTCCTCATCAACTCCAGAAAGATTCACGGTTATGGACATTGATGTATGTAGCATCAGGAGTTGCTTCGTTTATTATCCTGCCAGTGGAGAATCTCCTTTTTGGAGTAGCTGGTGGAAAATTGGTTGAACGCGTTCGCTCGTTATCTTTTCAAAGCATTGTTTGTCAAGAAATCAGCTGGTTTGATAGGTCCTCAAATGCTAGGTCAGCCTCCCAATATTCTGCTATTCACCAGATTTATGATGACAACTGCATTACAGAATTTTTATGTCATTAATTTCTATGTCCAGTGGAAATGTTGGTGCAAGGCTGTCTGTCGATGCTTCAAATATACGACGTCTTGTAGGCGATTCATTGGCATTGATGGTTCGAAGCACTGTTACAGTTATTGCTGGATTTGTCATTGCAATGGTTGCAAATTGGAGGCTTGCCCTTGTTACCACGGTAGTGCTTCCTTGGGGGGGCGGTCTCCAGGGATTCCTCCAAATAAAGTTCTTGGAGGGATTCAGTGCAGATACCAAGGTAGCATGCTGAATGCCATGCATCTCTGGTAAAAGAATAATGTCATTTGGCTAATTGAACTTAGTTATTCTTTTTCCTTGAATGGTGGACTGCAGGCAATGTATGAAGAAGCAACTCAAGTGCCAAATGATGCTGTCAGTGGTATTCGAACTATTGCTTCTTTCTGTGCGGAGCGTAAGGTAATGAAGACTTACTATGGAAAATGCAAAGCTCCAGTGCCGCAGGGGACTCGTCAAGGCATTGTCAGTGGCTTGGGCTTTGGTGTATCATTCTTCCTAATGTATTCTACATATGCCCTTTGTTTCTACATTGGAGCGAAGTTCATTCTTGATGGCAAGGCCACGTTCACTGAAGTATTCAGAGTAATCAAACTGTTCAGATTACTAAGCTTCAAGTTCGCTCGCATTATGCATAGCAAACTGCTGTATTATTCTGCAGGTGTTCACAGAGAAGTGTGTTAGGTTCAGATTATGCCAAGGCCAAAGCATCAGCATCAACAATATTTGCACTCATTGATCGTAAATCAAAGATCGATCCTAGCACTGATGACGGCATGGTCTTGGTTGACGTCGTTGGCGAACTTGAACTCCGCCACATCTGTTTCTCATATCCATCCCGCCCTGATATTCAAATATTCAGAGATCTCAACTTGAGAATACCATCCGGGAAGGTATGAAAACACTGAACGTTCCTTCCTTCAATTTTACTGCAATCATCAGTACCAGTACTACCAGTTACCAGCAGGCAGTTAAACTTTGATGCTCTCTCGGCAGACGGTTGCCCTCGTCGGCGAGAACAGCTGCGGCAAATCCACCATCATCGCTCTCCTGGAGAGATTTTACGACCCTGATTCTGGCACGATCACATTGGACGGTGTGGACATCAAGGACCTAAACGTGCGCTGGCTGCGGCGGCAGATGGGGCTGGTGAGCCAAGAGCCGATCCTGTTCAACGACACCATTCGCGCGAACATAGCCTACGGGAAAGAAGGCGAGGCGACGGAAGAAGAGATCACCGCCGCCGCGCAGGCCGCGAACGCGCACCAGTTCATCTCGGCGCTGCCGCAGGGCTAGCACCGTGGCCGGCGAGAGGGGCGCCCAGCTGTCCGGCGGGCAGAAGCAGCGGGTGGCCATCGCGAGGGCCGTGCTGAGGGACCCGAGGATCCTGCTGCTCGACGAGGCGACGAGCGCGCTGGACGCCGAGTCGGAGCGCGCCGTCCAGGAGGCGCTGGACTGGGCTGCGGTCGGCAGGACGACGGTCGTGGTGGCGCACCGGCTGTCCACGATCAGGGGCGCCGACGTGATCGCCGTGCTGCGGAACGGCGAGGTCGTCGCACAGGGCACGCACCAGCAGCTGATGGCGGCTAGGTATGGCGCGTACGGGGCGCTCGTGGAGCTCCGCATGAGGTCCGAGCGCGCCGGAGTGTCCTCGTCAGCATGACCTTCCCTCCGATAACTGGGCCAATGTGTCAGACACCATTTGTACATGGCCGGTGTTCATGCTGGGAGTCTAGGATTATGTGTATCTTCCTCTTTTACCGAACAAACTGTATTGTGTCAGCCACCATTTGCACATGGACAATGTCTGTGTTTCTAAATCCTTAAACTTTAGTTACTGTCCAGATGTTTGACATATGCATAGAGTATTAAATAGACTATTTATGAAACTAAATAAATAGATTGAGACTGTTTTGCGAGATGATTTTTTTAACCTAATTAGTCCATGATTTGACAATGTGGTGCTACAGTAAACATGCGCTAATAACAGATTAATTAGGCTTAACAAATTCGTCTCGCGAATTCGGCGCTCAACACGCACGCACGTATGTAACCCTATCCCTAAGAGCACCTCCGAAAGACTGTGACGGTACGTCTCGAGATTGACGAAGTCACCACAGGCGCTTCGCTGTCGACGGGAACGTCGTCTACCACTAAAAGCTCAATACCGTTAAATCCTGAAATAAATCTAGAAAAATATAAGTACCCGTGCTAAGTCAGAGACTTGAACCTAGGTGGGTTGATTCCACTACAAGAAACATAACCAACTGAGCTAGGCTCAGTTTGCTTGAAAACCTAACCAGTTGCTTGAAAAGTTTCAATTTGTTGATTGATTCCGAGAGTCACACACAATCGAGAGTATTTTTTTTGTAGGTAACAACCTTCTCCAATGCAATGCACGACAAGGGATTGAAGGATTATTGGGTGAAATTGAACACTCCCCCCAACTATTAGTTTTGAAAGAGTGTACACCACTTTTATCTCGATGAAACACTTTCCTCTCTTTTCTTCGTAACTCCGGTGACATGTCATCATACTTGCTTAGGACGTCCTCGGTGAAAACTATTAGCTGACAGTTATTTGATGTCTACTCAAGGGTGCAAGCATCCAATGCATCGTTTTCTTTTCAACTATGTTATTTTGAATTTATGCAGCAGTCGTATGCATTAGATATCTCCGCGTGAATATGAATTGGCAGCGGATGATCACAACTGCCCCACAAGAACCGCCCTAGACAAAAAAAAAGGGCCAGCTAGTGCCCGAATGCCCGGACGCACCTGTTCGTTCGATTCGAGCCGCGATACACATGTAGCAGAACCGACCAATTTATAAGAGCACAAGTACAATGGCAGCCCGCAAACGGTCGCACTGTCATACTTGAGCCCATATAAACCCGGTAGTCCCATCGAGTACCACGAAGGGTCTCGATTAACCATCAACATACAACCAAGATCTTACATGATTCAACATACATGTCACACGTTACATAAGGTTTACTAATACAGTTCATCCATCAGAGCGGAAGATTATTACAAACCAAGTTCAAGTAAAATAATAGCGGAAGCAAATTAAAGTTTGAAACGAACATCTGCCATCATAGTTCAAATATACTGCCAGCTCATGATCACATCCACAAAAGCATATGAGAAGTATTAATAAGAGATGCCTGCCTAGGGCTCACTCTTCGTCCACGGCGGGACAGAAGCAGTTCTGGCAATAGCCATGATAAATTATACCATCTGCAACAATAGGAATAAAACCCTAAGTACGAGAAGGTACTCAGCTAGACTTACCCGTCATAAACAAAAACAAAGTGACTCCAAGGATTATGCAAGACTTTATAAGTGGAGCTAGCTTGACAACATTTTGTATAAAAAGCGACCAACTCAGTTATACAATTATAATTCAGTCATCAAGTTAATTATAGCTATTCATCTCTAGATTAGCAACTAACCTGTGCCAAACATGTGGTATATCGTTTAGTAGCATACAATAGTAACCATAGCCGGTGTAGTAATTCTATGTTCATCCGAACCATCATTTCATAACACAGTTATTACGATATTGGGACTAGCCAAGTTTCTCACTGTCCGAGAGAGACAACAATTCGAATCGATTTCAACCAATTGGGAATTTATTTCTAACATAAACCCAGGCAGACCAGATCAACGGTCACCTTAGGTTACCTTTGGTACAACTCAGGTACATATTTCGCGGGTTCGACCGGCGCCGCACAATCAGAGACAACTAGCTGCCAGGACGATCAGGACTACCCTGCCCTTGGGCTCACGTCTGGCTCCCCGCACATCTTTACTACCATCCAAAGTGCGCACTTTTACAGAATGGGGTCCGGCCTGAGTTGAGCTACTCGGCTTCGCGATCGGAACGAGTTATCCGGCCAGCTAAGTGAGAGGCATGCGTTCAATCTTGTCAGAAGCGCCAACAACGGTACGTTCCTTAACCGGCACAGACAGAATCACATGAGTCAACCCACACATAGACTCCGCCTGGTCTCCATTTCCATTTCTCCATAGTTCTTTTCCACGATAGCAAATATAGTCAACCGTGCTTTGGTATCCGCCTATATCTCACAGGTGACAGAAAATCACCCGACTTCTACCGGTCTAAGCATGGCTAAGCATATATTTGATCCTGGACCTACACAGGGTTAAATGTATATGTATCTGGACAAGGTAGTTCTATGCATCAAGAGTTTTCAATCAACTCTTATAACATAACGCATCAAACATAAAGGACTCAAGTGATATTTTGTAAAACATGGGAGACTTAGAATGCTATAGGGCTTACCTTTGAGGAAAGAGGTTGGTCGATGATCTAGGCACTTAGGAAGGTCCTCAAGAATTTGCAACTCTTCTCCTAGAGCTACGGTCTGAGGCATCTCCTGCTGATCCTCTTCTTCCTCGTTGAACTCTAAAAGAGTTATCTCTTCGACGATCCTATACGCATGAGCATAAAATAAGATATCACGAATGCATATATGATGACATGTATAATATGATATGATGTGATGAATGCATCCTCATAAGTGTTCTCAATAGCATTGCATTAAGGTGATAACAAGTTGCATCTTATTTTACTGAGTAGATGCATATCTCTTCTCTAGTAACTAAACAAATTCTCATCTAAGCAATTTTCTGAACTGTAAGACAGCAGCCATATGTTTTGACCATAACTAGAGTTATACGCATCAAAATAATATGGTCGTGGACATTCTGGCAAGATTATGAAATTGCCTACAACTTTATTTTAATACACTTAATGTGATTCAGCAGTTATCTAGGTCAAACAATTCAATCATTCAAATCTATCTAGAGTGCAAGCATTTCTGACAGCAGATTTCTAATAGCCGTAATTCTTAAACCATAAGGCCTATAACTATAAAAATTTAACACAAAGTATATCGGTAAGTTATCTACAACTTTGTTATTAACCATATTTACAGAAAAGATCATTAACATCATGAATTCATCACCACAACAGAAACTATATATGCAGCCATCTAGTTGAATTATAAAGCGATAATTAACTAGTTGCATACAACCAATTACTTCTAAGCTTAACAAAGAACATCAGCATATCATATGCATCTCAAGCACCACAGAAAACATCATGGTTAAACATTACTAATTTATTTATATTCATTTATTAATTTCCTTAGATAATAAGGTGATTTAAAGGATAAATGTTTTCATTGCTTAATAAATTCTGAGAAAATTATAGTAGTCTAAAAATGACCTTAATAGTCTACTGTACAAATTTCATACCATTTGGATAAGTATATATATCTCTACAAAAATAACAAGTTACATAGGATTATTTTAGCAAAAATAGTTTAGCATAGTGAAAAGTATCAAGTAACAGATTTAATATTTTTCTTACTTTCCTACTAGTATAAGAATACTGTGTAAAAATTTATATGATCATATGTTATATATTTTTACCCTAATTAATTTCACTGAAAACTAGCAATTAATTAGGATTAAATATGAAGATCATATTTTAAGTATGCTTACTGTAGGTTTAGTATTTTTCCTAGCTATAGAATGTCGACATAAGACCAACAAAATTAGAATCATAATTTTATCACCTTCCTAGCTCAAGTTATGCAATTTACTAGATATAAACTACTTTAAAAGCACTTATCTTGCTCAATTTAATTCTCTAAGAAAAATACCATAAATAGTATATTTCATATTTTTAACAAATAGTATACTTTAATATGAAACCAACAAAATTTAGTTCACCCCATTTGGACACTCTTAGCTCTAGATATGAATTTTTTAAACATGCATTCAAATCTATGAAATAAATCTAGAAAATCAAATTCAAATCCAACTAACAGCTGGGGCCTGTGGTCAACGGGACCCACCCGTCAGGGAGACCAAGACAGGGGACGGCGCTGACCGACGAGAACTCGTCGACGATGAGGTCTTCGACGGTAGCGTCTTCACCGTTGCACTCTTCTCACCCCCGCGCATCGATTGGTAGGCTTAGTTGACTCGGTGGCTCGCCGGAGCATGCTCGACGACGCCCATGGCGGATGTCGGGCGGTGATATGTTGGCCATCTCCGGCTATGGCACACTCAGGCGAGGATGGCTACTTCCATCTTGGTGACCTAGCAAAGCTACATGGTGCAGGTGGGGGCTCGAGGTTGCGTCGGTGAGCTTGGCCGCGTGCATGGCCGTGCGGCGGCGCACGGAGCACAACGGTGCTCTCACTGTTTCGGCTAGACAGCGGCGAAAGGTGGGGTCTTTGTCATGCTACTATCTAGGTCTAGGGTTACCCGACCTAAGACGTGAGAAAAAGGAGGGAGACGGTTAACCAACACGGTGGCGGCGAGCTCAAGTGCCACAGTGGTCATTTTGGCCGCGCGCGGAGCGGCGACTCATTCCGGTGCAGTCAAGCGGTGTCGTCATTCCTAGATCTAGCCTAAGCATCTAAACTCTAGCATGGTGCTAGACCAGAGAAGATGGAGGCATACAGTGCGGTGGAACGGCTGGGCCACGTTGAGCCATGAGCGCGGTGGCGCTCCAGTGACGACAACGGCCACGACGAGGCTAAATGCCACTATACCTGGGGTCGATAGGTGATGCTGGTGGCTCGAGGAGGTGGAGGTGATGGCGGAGCAGCTGTGGTCGAGA